TTCAACAAGGGCAAATAAATGTGCTCTCCCCTTTGATTTCATCCCCTATAATAGCAGAAAAAGAGGTTTTCCTCAAATTATGGTAAAAGAGGGATTTTTACCTCAATTCAAACCCTTTAAAAGGAGGGACAACAGGGCTGCCCCCTCAATTTAAACCTTAGGATGATGAAAATGGTGGGGCTACCTTCAAATCAAACCATAATATGACAACATTTTTACCCTTCCATTTAAAATAGAACACAGGCACTCCCTATCACCCCTGTGATACCCCTAACACCCTAGAAAAGCCAGGTTTTCCTCCAAATCAATACCTTTAAAACCACAAATGAAGGGGTACCCCCACCCCCGTTCACACACAGACAATAACGGAAGAAGAGTCGCTTCCTTCTTTTTAATTTCTTCTGCCCTCATAACCGCCCTCCCCTTTTTTTTTTTTTTTTTTCTTTCCCTGGGACACCGGGGAGGCATCGCCAAGATGAAATTGAAAAGGGAAAGGACAAAAGTCCCCGCTACAAGTCCACACCGGCTCACCTGTTCCGCTGCTGCTTCCCAGCACGAAGCTTTGTCCTTTGGCACCTCCTTTAAGCAATGCTCCAAGCATCCAAGTGCGTATCCAGGTGTTCCCCCAGACTCCGTGAGAAGCTCTCAAGGTCCTTCCATGAGGCAGCTCCGGGAGCCCCCCACAGACCCCTCTTCTCCAGCAGCTCCATGCAAAAAGGAGCTGAGGCAAACTCTCCCCCCTAAAATAGCCTCCAGCAGGAGCCACCATCCTCACAGCTCACATCTGGGGCTGCTTACAGCCCTCATCATCCTCACAGCTCACACCTGGGGTTGTTGCCACGCACCAACAGCACCCCTCCCTCTCCAGAACACAGCCCACCTCCCAGAGACACAAAACAAAGAGAAATCCCCTGTGGGTGTTGACTTTTCTTAGTCCATCTGGTTACACGATTAAAGCACGTACATGCATTGATGGTCATTGAGGGAAAGCTTTCCAGTGGAGAAAACAGTCTTTGGTAGCACACTTTGATACACACTCAGAAAAAGCAGAATCAGCACCAACTCCTGAGACCCCTGCTGAGGAACCCAGCCCTCCTTGGGATACCCAGTGCAGCAGACCTCAGAAAAGGAGGGGAGAAAGTCAAGCTCAGAATGGAAAAAGAGGACATAAGTACACCAGCCCTTAAAAAAAGCCTTCACACAGCAATAGAGAGAACCAGTCACATTTCTTCCTTCCTTGCTTTCTGTGATAACATAAATATGAAATAAAAACACATTAAACACAAGGCAGAGCTAGGATTTTACAGGTCTTCATTTGGCAGTCTGAATGACAAATGGGTGAAGAAATAAAATGAGGAAAAAACCCATGACTCTTTGCCTTGTTTGGTTGCAACAATGCTAAGCTAAGGGCTTGTCCTCCAGCATCCACTGCCCAAGGAGAGTGATGTCCTCTCACAGATACATCCATTGTTGAAACAGCAACAGAGTACTGCAGATTCCTTAAATATACTGTGTGTATATTCCCTGCAGTGGTGATAACTGGGTTCAGTGAAGTTTAAGCAAGTTTTTGTGAGTACTTATTTGTACATCTAGCCAGCTTCAGGGTTGTGCTGGGACCCTGATGCCAAAGGTTATGTTGACCTAGAAAGGAACTGGAACAGATAGAGACTCCTCTACATCCAGCTCTCTGATATATCCAAATTAATAGGGCTGCTGCAGCCATGTTGAGTTTTGAAGACAGGATTTTTCATTCCTGATTTAATATCTATGCTTAATACTGTGATGTTTTATGGTGTTTCTCCTGCCATTTACTGAGCAGTGTTGTGATCCTTGTACAAGTCCTTGGCTCTGTAAGCAAGGGCAACGTGAGGGATCTTGAATGGTGAGAGGAAGGTACTTGCTATTTCAGACCTTTCTTAAATTTTTTTTTAATTCCTAATAATCATAAATATGCCCTGGAAAGGAATCCATGAACTCATGCCCCTTCTATATTCAACAACCTTATCTGAGAGAGCACTTTTCCCCTTACAGGAGGAGGAGCAAGGTGTGTGCTTATGAGCAATGACAGCTGTGCATGGCAGCAGAAAATGTGAGCTCATCTCTCCTTTCTTAAACAAGAGCCTAAAAATACTGCTGAAATCACTCACTGGAAACACAGAATACATAAAAGCTGACTGGAGCATTGCCTCTGTCCAAAACACTTCCAGATTTATATGCCAAATGAAATGGACTAAATGAAAATTCTTGGAAGGAAAAAGGAGGTTTCTCAAGGATTAATGATTCTTCACCTTACTCTGAATAAATAAACCTATGGGTAAATAGAACACAAATGCACTTACTGAGATGAAGCATTTGATCTGACGGGGAGAGGTAGTTGCAGAGCCATACTCCTGTTTGCTGCCTAATCTCCAGGAGGTCTTGGCTGCAGATCAAACCCCTTAGTCAGCCCATAACCCCAACAAAGGTAAAAAAGGTCAGAGAGCACTGTGGCAACTCTTATTAACCCTTAGTCTGAGCTATCATGACTTTTTCAAGTTAAGCCCATGACTTGAGAGCCCCTTTCTAACCTATGTGAGCCACAGCTAGTCCACACTAGGTCAGCTGCACCATCATCATCTTGGGGCTTTGGTGTGCCCAGAGTGATGTGAGGGGAGTGGAGCTCTGCACATCCTAAGGCCATTGAGAGCAGAGCAACATCCACTTCTAATGAGAGGCAGCAAGTGCCAGCATGGGTTTCTTCTCCCCACTGGGGAGGCAGCAACAGGTGTGGATGCCAGGGAGATAGGTTCCTCTGGGAAGGAGGAGGGGTCAGGTCCCGGGTTTTCCCCTGGGGCACTGGAGTAGATGGTGAGAGTCCTTTCTACTTAAACTGGGTGTTAATAAGGTCCCAGTTCACTGGCTGCTCTTATGAGCAGAGGCTCACCCGCGGTAAAGAAGAGTCAGTGACAGGCTGGAGTCCCTGGTGGTGGCGAATTTTCCCCGCGGCAACAGCAACTCGACCGATCCCCTCCTGTCCCGAAAGTGAGAGAGAGAGCCAGGAGCTGAGCCCAGCACCTCAGCCCCCAGCCAAACACCTCAGGGCATCCCTGCCCTTCCCAGGAGAAAAGCCTCTGGCTAGGAGGCTGTGGCCAGCTGCACCCCTTGCCCCCACCTTGGCCACTTTTTTTCTCTCTCTTAAGTACTGGTCGCTACTACCTCTTAGGCAACAGATGGGAGAGAATTTCCTGAGAGAAAAGGAAACAAAAAGGGGGAAAAAGAATTCCTAACTTTCAACAAAGCTAGAGGAAGAGGTAGAGCCACAGGTAGTTATGTGGTCCCTATCCCTGGATGAACAGTGAGAGATGCAAAAAGATTTCAGCTGCCAGTCACAAGGTGACTGTAAAACATTTGGTTTACTTGGCAATCTTGTAGAGAAGCCAAGAAAGCGAACAGATAGGATGTTCCTCCTACCTGCCCTGTTCTTGCGTGCTTGCATGTCAAAGTGAAAGACACGTTGCCAGGAAGCAGCATGGAAAACCCAGTGGAGAGCACAGTGCTGAAGACAGCAAAGGACTGGAGGCAGCTGTGGACTGGTGTGACCAGGAGCAGGGGAATTGTGTCCTGCTGCTTTCCAGCTGTGCTGCGGGATGTTAACCAGCTCCTCCCTCATGTGCAGCACTTCCAGGCATCCTACCTACCCCAGTGCTCGCTGCAGCTGCTTCTCACCCACTGCCCTGCAAGGGCATTGTATGGCCTCTTGCACATTTTCATACCAACACTCCTGTTTGAATAAAAACAGGGCAAGGATAGGGTATAGTCTGAAAAATTCTGTGTCTTCTCCATGTCTGTTGTTCTGCGATTTCCACTGCTTTGAATGCATCCAAAAATAATTTGAAAGAGATGCATAGCTTGATTATTGCCAGCATGAATAGATATTGGTTTAAATGGCTGCTTGGAAAAGAAGAATAATGGAGAAATCATCTTCTGCAATCCACATCCAATGTTTAGACCTGCCTTACACTTTGCTTGAGCTAATGGCTAAAGACTTGTATAATGGTACAGCAACAAAGAAAATCTTCTGCTTGCTTTAAAGTTATTGGCCCCTTAGTCATTAAAAATACGTTAAACTTTCAACTTTTGTTTAAGTTTGTTTACTTTAAAAGGGGATTTTAGTGTTCTTTCTGCATCTTTACCATCTTTTTTGTCCTACTGGACTGGCATATCAGCATGGGGGATGTTTTGCTGTAAGTTTGAAATGTGTGTCTAGAATATGTTAGACTTCACCACAAGTGATTTCATATTTCCAACATGAAAATTTTAACTATGGACTTGCCCTGACAGCTGGCTTTATGAGGGTGTAGATTAAAGTAAAACCTCATTTACCTTAAGGAGAATTTGAGAAAAGATCACTAAGTCTATTCTCTGATTTGTGACAGAGAAAAATACAGTACAGAATAAATACATGTTTTTCATCCAAAACTAGGCATGTGCTGGAAAGCTGCATTTGATTTGTTTTGAATTTACAAGTGCGACCTTATCACAGCCAAGACAGCCCAAATATGAAACAGGACTGCATCTCCTTTCATGCCTCTGGGTAACATGATTCTAAATATATACACTAAAACTATTTAGATGTATCTGGACATATTTATATAGATAAAAATTAAAATATATTTAAACTTGTACACCTAGGCAGCTAGTCCAGTTTTCTTCCCACAACAGGCATTTGGAGATTTCTCTGGACTCTGGTTTACCAGCCAAAATTAGTTGGTCCATGCAGCAGGTGGCTCAACAGCAGCAGAGTGGAGCCTGTGCTGAAGTGATCCACAGAGAAGTGAGTGTGCTGATCCACCCAAGATGCTACTACTTTCAGTAAACTTTAAACAATAGCTGGAAATCTGCTGTATAAAAGAAGATTTTACAAAGTATACATGAAAACAGTGCTTTGGGATTGGATCCAATATCCATTGCTACAAAACGCAATAGGAGGAGAAGCAAGCTAGGACAACAGAGAAAAAACATTTTCAAACAGTAAAATGGGTATGTATTTTTTTTCTGCTTCTTCACCTGTCGACCACAGCCCAGTTAGCTGATGTATCATTAACAGCACAAAGCTAACACAGCATTAGAACTTCTGGATTTCAACAGCTGAGTGAAATCATGTCCTTTACAGCCCAAAAGCTTCTTCAGTGTTGTCTTGCAAACACTTATTGCCAGCGCATTCTTTTCTTGCTGCTATAAGATGGCAGGTAGATATGTAGAGGCGAAGGAAGGCACTGTGATCAGCAGTCAGGCCAGCGAAGTGATCATCTTTCAAGCCACTTTGCACACTGCTTTTATAAAAGCACATAAACTTACAGACATAGCAATATATTTCCTAGATTCAAAGACCAAGGCACAGATAAACCTTAAATTGTTATGAACAAAATGTTTCTTAGCTTATAGAAATCAAAAATATATTTATGACAGACTCATAGAATGGTTTGGGTTGAAAGGGACTTTAAAGACCATCTCATTCCACCCCCTCTGCAATAAGGATACCTTTCACTATTCCCAGGCTGCTGCAACCCCCCCAGCCTGGCCTTGAACCCTTCCAGGGACTGGGCAGCCACAGTTTCTCCAAGCAACGTGCTGCAGTACCTCAGCACCCTCACAATAAAGAATGTCCTCCTAATATCTCACCAAAACCTACCCTCTGTCAGCTCAAAACCTTCACCCTGGTCCCAAGACAAGCCCTTGTCAAAAGTGATGTCAGTTTCTGGAAAGAAGACTCATTTTTTTAATATTGCTTTTGTGATTGAGGTTAGATAATCAACGTTTTGCTCATTCTAGTTAGAAGAAAGCTCAATCCCTATTCAGGACTCTTTTCCTAAGGAGCTGGAGCCTTGACATGACTACATCCCAGTCTGCGTAGGCACCTTCCAGGTGACGTGTCACTTCTGAACAGGATGGGTAGCTTTGGCGACCATGAAGCACACGCCAGTTATCAAACGTCAGTATGTCTCCTGTAAAGAGATTGCACAAATGTTAGAGCTGATTCCTTCAAAAAAATACAGAGGTAGATTCATATCAACAGCTAGCGAGCAATAATTTTACGTAGCCCAGCTGGAGATACACAGCAACAACACAGTAATTTTAACTTTCTCAACCAGAGAGGCCAGTTCTCCTTTGACATCTCTTTCATTTCTTGTATAATGAAGAGTTAAAAAGCAGGGTGGTAGAGGAGTCCGTACTGAGAAAATCAAGCCTTGAGGAGAATGCAAATCCATAGAGGTGAAATAAATAAAATGTGTGAAAATCACTAGGGTACATTTTATTTGACCAGTCTAGTACTATTTGTACTATACACATACATATAATCCCTGTTAAAAGATAAAAGAATTATCTTTTACCCATTTATTAAATGTTAAAAGAATTTCATGAGAACAAAGTAAAAACACTGAAAGTTAGGAAATCACATAATTAACGCTAGCATACCAATTTAATTTTTCTCCCTTGTGTGTCACCATTATGGTAAATCTTGAATGAAATAAACTCACAATCTTTCTTATCTCCTCATTCCCTCTACCACCATTTGCGTTAATCAACAAATTGAATGCCACTAATGTAATATAAGGCACTTTGTTTTTCCAGTAATGTGATTGTACACATTATTTTATTGTTTGTTACCAATGGAGGGAGATTAATTTCCTCACAGACATTTTAGACACAAGTACCATAGTATATGAGGCAGTCAGATACAAAGATGAATTTACTTTTGTAGCATCTCTTGAGAGATTCTTATATTTATTTTAATGCTGAGGAATGAAAGAACAGAGATTAAGGCCACACATGCTATCACACATAGCATTGCCAATCTATGGTGCTATTGATACATCCATTTCCAATACGCTTTGTAGCATAAAATACTGTTTTGTATTTAGTTTAGAGATACATTTGACTAATCTACAGGTAGACTATTCCCCCCTGCCACTTTTTTCTTCTTTATAGTGTAACAAAGGCAAAAGATATCTATGAGATGAATGTAAGAAAGCAGTAAGAAACAAAATAGATAGAAAGACTTGGAGTTCCTCTCAGTACTAGTGCTAGCAGTGTTCAAGTATTTTGACTGTCAGGAAAAACCTGTGAAAAATTGTTGTGAGGAGAAGCAACTTACTTACCTGGTTTCATCTTGAAAGTAAACTTGTGTTCTGTGCTGTTCAATAAATCATTAAATTCCTTTAGAGCTGCATAAAATGGCCTCACTTTTTCAGTTGGTATATCAAACACTGTGTCTCTTGTTGCATTATTAAAATTGATGCGAATTGCTTGGCCTCTGGAATCCGTGCTATAAAACAAAGAAAAGGGGAGAAAAAAGAAAGGAAAAAAAAAAAGGAATGTATCCTGTTGTTACTGAAACAGTTCAAGATGATTAAACAATAACTGAATTCTCCTGCTGGAATATCAGTATGTTTCTACAGTAAAATTCAGATTGGATTGGATTTTGCTAATTAAGACTAACTAGGAAAAGGGAGAAGCAGGAAAAAGTAGACACTTAATTTCATCAAAGGTCTATATTATACACTCTTTAATTGCAACCTTTTTAAAATAAATCATATTTTTTAAATCATAAAAGTATATTAAAATTTGCATTCCATCTTCTGATAGTATATAATTTTTTATTTAAATATTTCAAATTATGACCTCTCCTTGGCATGATATATGCATGTACATTGGCTGGCATTTGGCTGTTTGCTAACCTGTGCCTAGGAGTTACTCTAATTACCACCACTTCTTGTTTGTGTGTGGCAAAACCAAGTGAGCAGCACAATGCACAGAACAAGTCACACATTCGCCAAAAAAAACAGACTAAATATCCCAATCAACCAACCCCACCCAAACCTAGGACTACAGGCCAAGTTACACCAGTGTTTTCCCACAAGGTGGCAGGAGCAGACCTTCTCCTACCAACACATCACCTACCAGATGACTGGGATTTTCTTTTCAGGTGCTGTTGAAAATACTCACTCTATAATCCTTTGTTTACAGTGCATAGCAAAATCACAGTAATCCACCCCAACATCAGTGTAGTCTACAGCAGTAGAGGACAGGATCTGATATGCCTCAGGATTTTGTTTCTTCAGCTTGTTGGACACATGAAATCCATCTACAACTTCACTTTCCCCTCCTGCAGCTGTTTGCTTTATACAATGAAGGAACTGAACCTGGAATGAATTAAGAGCTCTTTAAAAAAATAGTTGGCTTGCATATTTAACAATTTATTGGTATCAGTTCTCTCACATCTGTGGTTCTTTTATCCTGGTTGTTTGTTTATTTTTTTTTTTCCCAGCGACAGACTGAGCTCTCATTTACTGCAGCTTCACAACTCTCTGCCACCAGTATCACAAAGGCAGAAAATTAAAATAGCATGTTCATAAATCCAGCACATTGGGATATCTTCTAATGCTTGCAATCTGTTAGTCAGTGGCAAAGAGGTCTGGCTTCTTTCCTTTGAGTCCCTCTTTCTCTTCCTACTACTTTCCAGTTGTCTGGAATGATGTGAATTATGTGGATTACAGTTTTATATGACAGGAACTGGGTGAAAACATCTTTTCTGTGGTTGTCCAGTTTTACAGAATGGCCCTGATTTTTTGTCTGTTATGAAAGGGCAAACAAGTATTTATCTTGCACCAACTCACAGAAAACAGAATATACCATCTTAATAGTATTTCTTTCTCTGTTCCCCTCCTGAGCTGAAGAGATGAGTCCTAAAATGCCACAACCTGACTACAACATTTAGTCACCAAACTTTTGTGAAATAATGACAACAGTATTCAAAGCATATAAAGGACCCGAAAGTTTTCTCATATGGTAATATTTTCAACACTTTGTGAATTTAATTTTAAAATTATGGGCTATATGGGAGACATGCTGAATTTACATCATACTGTACAAATTGCACACCGTGTGTACATAGATCAGTATATGCAGATTAACATATTGATATTTTTGACATTGCTCTTTTAAGACAAAATTCATAGCCACTGATCACCAACCATATTTCATGCCACAGGAACATTTCCCTTTCCCTTTTTGTGAAGTAAAAAGTCAGTAAATTCAACTTACCCCAGGTGGGTGCTGCAGAACAGGGTAATCAGTGTGAAAACAGAGTCTCTCAGTTGTATAAGCTACATTGTTAGCATCTGCTTTGTCTTGTACTTGCCAAGTTGGTCTTTGTAATGAAAGGGAAAAGAGAAAACATGTTAGAACATCCAGCCCGCATGCCAGACAGTACACACTGAAACTGTGAAATAACAGTACAACAGTCACTTCACCTTTAGACATGAAAATATTGTAACATTATAATGAAATAAGGATTTAGCAGTGTCCCTCCACCCCAACAGAGGCTTATTTCAGCAGTCCTAGATAAAACTTCCAGGGACATCTGGCACCAGGGCAGTACCTAGAAGAAGGATGGCTTTCTAGTGGTGGCAAAGGCCAGCTGAAGACACTAACCAAGAGCTTCTGGCAGTAAAAATCATCCTAGATGCTTCAGAAATAAGTGAGTAGAAGCTGTCTCGTTTCTTTTTAATCAACCTTTCACTTTCCCTCTGTCACATGGAGCACATTATCAATGAAATGCAGAACTTGTAAAGGCCATGTAACTTTCCCCAGAAGTTATTTTTAAGGCTTCATAATCTTAGAAAATACAGAGTATCCTTTACTGGGGGATCTTTCCTGTAAGTTGAAAATTTGCTTCTGGAGAAAAATGTCATTATGAAAGGCTTTGAAACTTCTCCCCTTTCTATGACACCCTTGTTGAGAACTAGCTCTGTTTATTTTATTACATAGTTTCTCTCTTGGAATTTGGCACAATTCAGTAAAAAAAGATTTCTGACAACTGCAGTGAAAAAAGTAAGTCACAGCTATATGACTGAGACATGAATACCTCATGTTGCTGCACAGACAAAATGTGTTTTGAGTGACACACCACGCAGGAGAATTTGAGACCCAGAACCACAGGTTTTATTTACACAAAGTTCACATGATTGAAGACAATCCTCAGCAGATGCACGTTATAGATCCAGATGTTCGTCTGGAAAAGTGTAATTTACCATACAGAGATGGTATAATTGCACGCACATAAGGGACCAAAAAGAAATTATGAAACTCATTTTCCCTTGTGGAATACTATAGACAAAATATGTTCCAGATGGTGTGCGCCTAGTTTTACTTCTTAATAACAGTTTAAAAAGAAAATAGGCTAAAGAACATGCAGATAAAATTATTTATATATAGTATATAAATGCTTTTGGTTTAGGAATGGTATTTAGTATAGAAATTATGCAAAATGCTAAAATTAGATTTCTGCAGTTTCCAGAGGGAAAACCCTCTTGAGTGTTTGCAAATGTGTTTAACTGCCTAGAAGAAATAGTTTTTATTATTTGGTACAGCACATATTCATCAGTACATTACTTAACAACACATATTCATCCATCACATGACTTCAGTACTCAAATATGATCATTTCAACCACACTTCCACAGTTTGACAGCTAAAAAATAGCCCCTTTTTATAATTCCTGTAATTAGTGCTGAAGGCAGCTAGATTTGCTCCATCTTTAATAGGCTATGGTGTCACTTGATGGATCTAAAACAATTTAACACATTTTAGCTGTCTCATTTATACAAAATCTATAAAATTACTGGAGTGATAACACTGTATAGAATCATCAGAAGCTTTTGTAAAAGCAATCATTGCTTTTGTACTGTCAGGATTTGCAAGGGAAGCTGCTCCCCAGGAGCTTTCCTTCCACACAGGGGGCTTTAGTCAAAGCCCAAGTTACTGACTTGAAGTCAAAGAGGCTAATGGGGATCTCAGCACTGAATATGGAAAAAGCAACCTTACTTAGTGTCTAAGTCTCAACTGAGCTGAAGCATCAACTTGGCCATGTTGGGTGCACAGGTAGTAAGGGTATGTCAGAGGACTCTGGGACCTTAAGGAGAGCAAAGTGGGTTGGAATGGTTTGTGGTTTAATAATTAGGGTCAGATTTCAAAGCCCATTGTTCAGGGTGCTTGATAGAGTAGGAAGATTGGCGCCAAACAGGTGTAGCAATTTTTTTGCATTAGATAGCAATATGGGTTCAGTCTCCATCAGTAGAAAACCAAGATGTTACCTCCTTAGTCCTGCCAAAGTGCAGCACTAGGAACTGAAGCCACATTTGAATCATTTGGTCTTATATTTTATTAAAAGTCTATGTCTTATACATATGAGACTTGGGACACATGTCCTTCTCCTGCTGCTGAAGACCTCCAGGTGATACTGATGGACTGGCTGTTTGCATGGCAGTGCTGGAGCCACCAAGGAGGGTCTTGACACCACACTAAGCACTGAACAAAGCTTCAGAATGGAGGAACACAAGGCCTAGGGCGTGAGAAGTTGGAGAAACAAATTGTGGTACGACTGGAGACTTCATTAATCCAGTTGGGTTTCCACAATGGAAAGAAAAAGGTTAATTTAAAAACGTGGACACTCTTGATGTTGTTATATGGCTGATAGAATGTTTCCACTTTTTACAGTAATGACATTTTAGGGAGGTCACACCAAGCAGACATCTAAACAAGAAGAAAGGCTTTTTTTCTTTCATGCATTAGAATTATATTCATTGCTGCTATATTTCAGTTTAAAACTCAGGGTTCTGTTGAGGTAATGTTTAATTTGGCAAGTTTGCCAATTCCAAGTTTATCCTTTTATTTATCATATTTTGTAGGCCATGTATTTGGCTCCCAGTGAAACACCAGGGAAATAATAACCCAGAGTTATTATTTTATTACAGTTGTAAAAACCAATCCAGAATTGGATGCCAGTAAGAACTGAACTTCTGTTTCAGAGATGAAAATTATGGTGAGTATTAGATACAAACATTTCTTCTTAGTTAGATGGAGGTCACCGATTCAGCTCAGCAAAATGAGAGTTGCCGTCATGGTTTGTCTGCTCATTTAGTAGATGCTTGCAGAGCTAGAGCTTCAGTTTGCCAGTTCTTGGCATCAAAAGGATAATTTACAAGTGCCTGCTTGTGCTCCCTCCGGCTGCACTCCGCTTGTTGGGATTGGCTATGGCTTTCCAGAGCATATTCTGTAGAAAGCAGGAAAATGGGTACTCAGCCCATCTTCTTGGTGATCTGGGCCACGATACCATCATCTAAGTCTTGCCTATATCCATGACTCAAAATCAAACTAAGAAAAAGTTTCAGAACAGATAACTTCCTCTGTTCAGAACAGGACTGGATTAGGGATTTCTGGTTTTGTTTCATGGCATAGATAAGTAAGTCTATCTCACTGTTACCCTATATTCAACAACATTTGTTTTCAGGCACTTGCCCTTCTCTCAGCAGTTTTAGTGTTATTTCTGCTCTTCTTTTAATACCCTACCTGTAACAGCAAAGCAATTATCTTTTACAGTATATGAACCTGATGCCAAATTTTCTAATATATACAGAAAAAAACATACACTTTGCTTTAACATATAAATCCACAAAAGAGATACAACAAGCTTAGATGAAGAACATTAGCGGTGATTACAACACTGGCAAAACAAAAATTTTATAAAACAAACTCACCCATAAAATGTGAGACGCAGGAACCCAATCCTGTTGCCCAGTCTAATCAGTTCTCCCTGCCTTGTAGCAGCTCCCGTCAGCAGAACAATTCCTACTTTCTTTAGAGTGCACAACCACTTGTATGCACTTTCATCATTGCTCATGACTTCTTCAAAAGGTATTTTGGGAAGCTGAAGGTCTGAGCCCCAGTACTGACGTTCTGAAAGGGAAGAAATAGAGAAACAAGTTCTTTGCTGTTTTAGCATCAAAACTCAGGACACGGTCAAAGCAGGAAGTTAGTGGTATTTCTATGGATTTGTGAATATTCCTCAATCCTCCAAGCCATCTCAAATGGGGTCCCTGAGTTTGCACCGATGACAAGCAAACTAATGATGAAATTCAGCAAGACACTGCAGTATCAGAATTTTAGGTCAGAAATTGAATGAAAGGACATTTTGAAAGGGACATTTTTTGCTAACAGTGCATCAGAAATGTGTGTATTCATTTTTCTGGCTGTACTGATGAGCCACAAGAGTGAAAATTTGAAAATATGACTGCTTTGAAAGTTTCTTGTTAAGGGGAAAATCAAGGAGCACCCAGAGACATCCCTCATTGGTCAACCGAAGGGCTTACTTGACTTCAGACACATCACTTGGGACCATGACAGTGCTATCTGCGTTCAACCAATTAGCCTGCTTGAGATCAAATTCATAAATTTGGACAATGCTGGGGTCAACCACTTAGCCTATAGGGGTCACTTGAGGTCAGACTCATTGGCTGGGACTGCGCTGGGATTCCCTGAGTTGAGCCAATTAGCCTGTAGGAGTTACTCGAGGTCAAACTCGGGGCTTGGGACTGTGCTGGTCCATGCAGAGCTCTGTGAAGAAGCTTCTCAAAACCCAAGCCAGTCGTTTCAGCTTCCCTTGCCTGTGTCCATGAAACACTTTTCATGCCCATTCATTTTCTGCCTCTCTGCTCTGCTGAGACCCCACTTGGAGTACTGCATCCAGCTCTGGGGTCTCCAACACATGAAGGGCATGTGGAGTGCAGCAGGGCATGGCCCCTGCCCTGAACAGCTTGTCAGCTGGGGCAATAAGGGCATCTCACCTCTCACGTGAGTTTGCTAACTGGTGAAATAACTCCCTCAGGACAGCTTGTTTTGAGTTAATGAGTTATTCTGGCACCATGGGATTCCCATTCCTGAGCTGACAATAAACATCTTGCTGTGGAAGCGGATGTGGAAAGATAAATTGGAATTGACAGACACCCCACTTTACAAACTCTAAAAGCTACACCATACGTTCACAAAGCAGAAGTCTTCTGCACATCCCCTGGAAATGCGTGGCGCCTTCCCCCCAAAGTTTGGGATGCCTGCTTTGTGGTTGCTCTTTGAGGGCTGAGTGAAAGGACTCTGTACACTGTTGACAATTCAGTGGTAAGTTACTGACTCTGGTGATGTATCCTGGTGATTATGACTCTTCAGGCTCTCTCATACCAACTTTGGGTCTTACATGTTTCAGACTTTTTGTGGGCTATGAATAATGGAACATGTCAGCTTTCAGACTGAGGAAATGAGGTGTGAGCTGCTCGTTTGATCTGAAAAGCTGTGCTGACAGCAGATACCAAAGACCACTTGGACAGATAAATGGGCCTTTGGAAGGTACTCTAACACATGGAAATTGATGTGGGGTAATTACTTTTTCTCCTGTATACAAGACCTATTTCAGATACTCCCCAAATGTAAGACTGCCTGCCTTCTGGTTAATTTCTCCCTTAGTAATATCTTCTAATTTCTTCAGTTTACTGGCTTGTATGCATAAACATATACACACGGTCAGATAGCAAATAGTAATGGGTAAAAAAGACAAAGATGCTAATTCTAACTTTTTCTTTTTTTGCATAAAGTTAGCACTGATTCTAGTTTTTTGCAAAACTTGAAACATTACTGGTTTAAGTCAAGCATTCTATTAAATATTGAATCAGGGCTTTTATTTTTACAGTAAAGACATATTTGTTTTTCCTTCCTATTATATATTTAATCTGAAGCTAAGAACAGTGAATCTGAAGTTTAGAACAGTATACTATAAAGCATGAAAAAATTTTATCTAGAATAATTGTTTTGTTTAAATCACAACTACCTTACTTGGTATTTTAACTAATATTCAGATAACTTTCCCAATCATCAATCACAGAGATCACACACTAGAAATGAGACCACATCAACATTTGTAAAATTATGCAGGTGTCATCACTTATAAAACATCTGTATCTCTATTTATTCCATCTCTTCAATGGACAGGACCAATAAAAACTACAAATTCCAAGGAGCTTTCAGAATTGAGAACTCTGGTAATTTTACCTTGTGACTGAAGGACATACTATAGTCCAAACAAATGTGAAGGCCAGGCTTGGATTTATTTTTTACCTCTTTCTAGATATAGGTAGGAAGCACAAAATACAATGTGCTCATAAAAACCCTGAACTCAGACACTACAGAGTTAGGGTAAGGGTTCTTCTTTCATCTGGCTAAGGGTAGTTAGAGATGAAGGGTCCAGGAATTAGAACACATGCCCAGATAAGAGCTATCCACAGAGAGCATCTTTTATGGTCTACCTGTGTTTCAGAAAAGCAGCATTATGATTCAATAATCTGTTGAATTTTGTAACACGTTCACAAAATAAAAAAGCACAAATCTTGAGGAGACATATAATCTCACATAATTACATTCCTTTTTGATACCACTCCATGGTCAGTTACTTACTTCCCCATTGTGTTTAACTTAAGATACATCTTCTCATGCATTTAAAAGACAGTGAAAAAATAAAATATTAATGTTTTCCCTTTATCAAAAGTTAAGAAATTAAAATAGACTTAAGTATGTTGTATAAGTATTCTAAGAATATCTTCTGAAAGACAGAGCAGGTGAATAACCATGTGAAAACTAACAGAACATTTTTAAGTTTCATCTTTCCCATCCCAGTTTTCTTACTGACTTGCTAATAAATATTTTCCTAATTTTCCAGAAACAACAAGTAGAATTTCAAGGAATATATCAACAGATTTTTCTTCATTTCGGAAAATAAATACCTGCACCTGGAATTGAACTGCAGCACCAGGAGTCCCAGGCTTCCAAGGGCACATGGACTGTAGTGTCCTCTTGTTCAAGTTCCCAATGCCTATTGCTCTTGCTGGAAGTTTGACCTGATTTGGGATGACCCTTCTGCAGCAGGGTCTGCCTGTGTTGTTGGGTTTTCAGGTGGGTTTGGCTTTTGTTACAGACCTGTGCTTTGTCCCAGCACTGCAGAACAGCACATGCTCAGCATGCCAGGCTGGGACTGCCTTGGACTTTGGCAGGACAGACCTGCCAGCCCCTGCAGCTGGCCTGTGGAACCAGCACCCTCCATCCTCCACCCAAGCAGACCCGCAGCACTGGCCACTGTCATCTGGCCCCACATCCAAACAGCTATGCAGCCAAAGGGAGGCAAAAGCTAAATTCAAAATGTTTCTCATATCACTTAACTTGAAGAGAAATAATTTTTCTGGGTATTTAGCCTTTGCCAGCCTCTGAAATCTATTTGGGAATAATACTATAACATTGCCTGCTGACTGAAGAGGTATTTAACCTCTACCGTACTGCTACAATGTGGAAATTGCAAAGTGTCAAGGAAACTGAACTCTACACTGATACTCCCAAAACAGCTAATAAAGCTGAAGAACTTTTTTTTCTTTAATGTTTCACCACTTTGCATTTTAAAAACACCAACAAACAAACATAGTCCCTAAAGAACAACAAAACAAAAAAGATAGAGAGTAAACATGGTTCAATCCTGCCTTGCAAGGCTATATAAACTCTTTCACTTTTCTCATATAAATTCCATTCCAATGACAAGTGTAGCCAGCATCCTTAATGGTTTAGGTTTAGCTCTCTTTTTAAAGGTGCAAGCTGGTACACAAATGCATGTAAATCCTACCTCAAATTTCAGAGAAGAAAGAATCCAAGTTTCCAGCCCTTCAGTGACATGCTGATGCAGTCAAGAGCTTGGCCCTTGAGCTACTGCAGGAGCAGCCTTTCCCCCTTCACGTTTGCCAGTGCACTCTATAATGACACCATGGTAAATACACTAGAAGCTGAAACCTTACATATAGCTCCAAGTGGTAACATCAATGTGACCACAACATTTAATACTAAATATCCCAAAGTAAATTATCAATTTTAGCAGATAATCTCCTGCAGACTCCTTAATATTTTTGCTTTACATATTAGCAATTGTGGGTTTTTTCAGAGAGCTCTTAGAGTTTTATTTAAATAGACTAGTGCCAATTTTGATCCTTCTAGTAGCTGCAGTAGTTCTGAGGTCTAATTTCTATCACTTATGTCTGATATACACATGAACTGCTTTTAAACAAATCATATTTGCACACAAAACAGTGAAGGAATTCTCCTGACTGGTCCCAGAGAGCATCACAGCCAGGCGAGCACAACAGCAATAGCTAAGAGACAAGTCATAGGTCTGTGCTAAAAGAAGCACCATTTACCTTGGCTCCAGATGAAAATGCTCTGTGTTGTCCAATATTTACAATTTGATATATTACCAGGTCCATAATTAATTGGAAAAGGACAGAAAAGCAAAACTCAGAATGGAAAAAAGGTCTTGTACTATGCAGAGAGTTATGTTCTTCCATTTAAAAGTGTTTTTTAAAAAGACTGCCTGAAAGGCTTAGAAAACTGTATGCTCCCCATGGCATGTTATTCTTCCACATAGCAAACAACAGGAACTTTCTACCCATTTGTATTCACAAAATCTCCTCAGCCTGAAAATCTGTCAAGGAGCTGCACTGGACTGCACAGGGACTGTACTCTTTGGCAGTATTTCCTGGTGGTAACTGACCCCACTCAAGTGCTTCATTGTTTTATTGTGTCATCACAGAACAATTTCTTCCCACTGCTAGGACAGTAAATACAGCTTCCATTGTACTACAGTAGAAGTGTTAGAACATATGCTGTGAAAGCTGAAGGGATAAGAAAGATAGGAAGTGTCTGGACAGCCTTAGGTCTCACTCGCACAGCACAGCTGCAGTTGCCAAATTAAAAATCTTTATGCTTGCAAATCAGACAATCAACTTGCAAATCAGAGAATCTACTAGGCTGGGAAAGACCCTTAAAATTCAGGCCCACCCTCTGAGCTAGCACCACCTGGTCAACTAAACCATGGCACTGAGCACCACGTCCAGCCTTTCTTAAACACCTCCAGCACGGTGACTCCACCACCTCCCTGGGCTGCCCGTTCCAATGCCCAACCTCCCTTTCTGTGAAGAAATTCTTCCTGATGCCCAATCTGGACCTTCTTTAGTCTGTGTCCTCTTGTTCTGTCACTGGTTGTCTGGGAGCAGAACCCGACCCTCACCAGGCTACAACCTCCTTTCAGGGAGCTGTGGAGAGTGGTGGGGTCACCCTGAGCCCCCTTTTCTCCAGGCTCCACAGCTGAGCTGCTCTTCAGAGGACTTGTGCTCCAAGCCCTTCACCAGCCCTGTTGCCCTTCTCTGGACATGCTCCAACATCTCAATGTGCTTCCTAAAGGGAGGGCCCAGCACTGGACACAGCACTCGAGGTGCTGCCCAACCAGTGTCGAGCCCAGGGGAGCAATGACCTCCCTGCTCCTGCTGGCCACACTATTCCCGATCCAGGCCAGGTGCCATTGGCCTTCTTGGTCACCCAGCTACACTGCTGGCTCACGTTCAGCCTGCCTCCAGTCAGCAGCCCCAGGTTCCTTTCTGCCTGGCTGCTGTCCTGTCACTCTGTCCCCAGCCTGTAGCGCTGCAGGGGTTGTTGTGGCACAGGACCTGGCAACTGGTTTTGTCAAACCTCACCCTGCTGGATTCAGCCCATCTTATCCAATATGTCCAGGTCTGTCTGCAAATGTAACTGAACAACTCATGCAGGATAAAACCAAGTCTTATAGAATAAGTCTTAAGTGATTTTCCAAATGGGAAGAATGAGACTCTTTTGAAAGAATTGATGCCTCTTTCAATAATTTCAGAACAGTAATCTGGGGGGAAAAAGACAGAAAAAACAAAAATCCCATTTCTTGATCATACCAGGTTAGTCCTAACTCCATTACAGTTTGCATAAAATGAGAAGATGCCCTTTATTCAGAACCTGCAGATGGTGTGCATGCATCAACAACTGGAATTATCCAGCATTCACTACACAACTTTGGACAATGCTGATCAAATCTTCTGGAGTAATATAAGAGTCTAGACCCGCTAGAGTAAATTACTTCATCTAAAATTATTTTGCCTACAGCAAGTATTTTAATGTTTGTTGAAAGCCAAGTGTATTTTTGCTGTATTGTGTGTTATGTATATGGCAGCCTAACTCGTCATTAAGTCCTTATTAGCTATTACTGAAGTATAAATTCAAATTACCAAACTTTAAGTAAAAAAAACTACTTTTAATTTCATCCTCCTAAAATTATCATCTCTCAGAACCTAGTAGAGAAACTGAAAACAGCACTGATGCTGTTAACATCCTGATTCAAACTTTTACGGTGCAGGATATAAACATCCCATATCATATTACCACATTTTAAAGAATTATTATCATTTGAAACCTTTAAACTGCTGTTTAAACCCTAATCTAACCTAAGGTTAAAAATATTAGGTACCACTACAGATTAGCTCTGCAGAATCTTCTCTTTCACCCAACAGGAAAATATGATTGCGATGTTATCCAAAATCCACCCCTTGAACCCCACCAGCCCCATCCTGTTATTGGAATGCCAGCATGTTGGAAAATGAGCCCCAGCTAACACAATGGAGTTAGATACTGGATACTGGCTTACTCAGTGTCTCTCACAAGCACCCTCTACTACCCCCAGCATCTGAATTACAGACATGGTAAATCATTCCTGTGACATCTGCTGTGTAGAACTCAAGTAAACAGAAAGAAAAAAGAGTATCTTTGAGACATCACAGCTGTAGAAGCAGAATATGGCTCTTTGGCTGTTCTTTGGGAAGCACCCTGTAAGCTGGGCTGAAATGAGCCTTGATATACACAAATAGCAGATTTTGATTTTGTGTATTGTATGGATAGGATCTGGGAGTGTTTTAAAAGAGAAATCTTGACATACTGCCATAGAGCTATTTATAGTCACTTCATCATGCACTGAAAATCTGACAGTCTTCTTTTTGGGCTTGACACAATGTCTGACATCTACTTTTTTGAATCAGAAACTATGATGGAACACCAATTTTTTAAAAAGCAGCACTAAAAGCAAATAACCACTTGCAAAAGAAAAAAAAAACCCAGCCACAGCTGTGAATGTCAGCAGTGAAGGTTAACATTTAACTACAGCAGTCTGGCAAGCTTGCATTTCTCTTTGTTGAATCAGCATGCAGGGCTGGCATTTCGTACCACTCTCTGTAACATTATACTGCTGGGGCATGGTTAGCTGCCGAAGGGCATGTAATTTGCACTGTGCATCTCCACTCACCACAAGGAAGTGTGTTCTAAACTTACCAAAATATACAACAAAAACAGGTCTCAAACAGCCAGCAAACTCACAGCCTTTTTTTGCAACTGAAACCTGGGAAAACTGCAAGAAGGTGTCAATCATAATGAGCCAGGGCATGAGAGCATGAGGAAGAGATGAATGACACCACCAAAAAAAAGCCAGTTAATTGGTGTAACGTTTATACACTTAATTTCTTTAGACTGACCACGTGAAACAGAATTTGAAAAAGCATTGCCCAAAGAATGAAACAGATCTTTCGTGTGTATTTTTACCTGGATGGCTCCAATGGAGAAGAGCAGTGGCAGAGCAGAGACCTGGCTTCAAAAACATGCACTGTATTTAGATGCCAAGAGTAACCACTGTGCAAATGCATGCATGTGAAGGCAAATCACAGCCAGTTAAGACTTCATAATAGGTGAAAAGCATAGTATTACATCTGAAATACTGAAATCTCCATAATTAATACCTTTGCCAATGAACGCAACCTGAGATCTAGATTATTTTGTCTGGGTATTAATTAAAGCAATTTACATTGACCCCTTTGAAGACTACAAAATATCCTGCTAGCTTTCATAGGATATTAATTTTCACAAATAAAAGTTCTTGCCATCTGAAAAATCAAGTCTAGTTTCCCTGAATGAGGTTTGTATATTCACTCTGAAAGCATGCCAAACTCTTCAAAATAGTAAACACGACCATTTTTTTTGCCAAAAGTAAAGTAGATAGAAACTTTTATATTACCAGGGGGAAATAGTTCCATTCTGAACTACGAAGAGTCTATTACAGCATCCACTGCAATGAATGGAGATATTAATTATCTTTTAAACCAGTAATGTCCTATTTTAATAGATAGTTTCTTAACACTGAACACAGATGCACAGCTTTCTGCAGCAGCAGATCTCACAGGAACACTGTCAAGAGCAATCGCAGACATCTTGCAAGCTTTCACACTTTCATGCTCAGTCTGAAATGCTGTCAAAGCAATGATGATATGCATCATGCCAAACCTCGTGGGTTTATAATTATTCACTTTAAAGGGTAAGTGATTTGTACAGGGTAAATGTTACAAAGACAGTTGTACAAAATGTTTCGTGATCAAAAGACAGTCTACCGCTAAAATACGCACGGGAAGCAAAGCAAACACAACTTGAACTTCAGCACTACACACTGCCATGCTACACAGTTACTTTTTAACGAGAAGGCCATGAAAAAGGGGGGAAAATATTTCAGTTGTAACTCCCTTGCAATTCCAAATAATCTTTCTTTTTATAAAAATTTAAATAGTATAAACAGCACTTACATACTTGCATAGTCACAGACCACTGGTGATCCATGGCTTATTTATGAGAGCTACTAACACTTTCTGGAAAGAGAAAGCTTTTAAGAAAGCGAGTGCAGCCCAGTTAGGTGTACTTCTCTCAGGTAAAGAAGGTAGAAGAGGGAAAAGATAAGCACAGGTCCCTGTCACACAGGCACAGCCTGGCACTGGGCACCAAGGGCTGCTGCCACGGCTTCAGCTGGGTGAGCCCAGTCCCCACACAGGCACCTCTAGCCAGGACTGTCAGTGTCAAACCCCTTGCATTTGGTCACAAGCATGGCAGACATGGATTTAATTCCTACCTGGTAAAAATAAATCTGCTCGCATTACAGCTCTGGCTTCTTCAGAGAAGCATCGTTTCTTCAACCACTCAGCTTCATATTCACTTGTGTGCTCATCAGGCCATGTAATAGAGATCTTTCAACACAAAGGAAAAGGTGAGTTTAGGAAAAAAATATTTGAAAAATATCATCCAGAACAACAAAGCCCCTTAGAAACAACAGAAATTGTGATACTTAGATCAATAATATCAGAGTTAAACTTTCCCTGAAGCATGATAGCAAACAAGTAATGAAAACCCAGCTGAAACATCATTCAAGTTCTGACACTTTTTATAAATGTTCATTTTCATTTCAACCCATGACCTAATTTGCTGGTTTGTGTGGACTGTTTCCACTGTGGGAGCTGCACTTAACAGAAAGAAGGGAATTGTAAAAACTGGCACGTATCACTGGGGAATACACTTCACCCCAGCTCAGAAGAGCGAAAATTTCTTGCAAAACACTGAGAGGTCAGGAGAAAAGAAAAAGAACAAGACAGACAAGGATCTTGTGCTAGGGGAGAAATCCATCTCCTACTTCTGAAGTCTTCCCTCTATCAAATAAATTTTTAAAAAGTGTTGGGTTTTTCAATTCCTGAAAAAAACATGGATAGAAAACATATGGCTTTGCTTGTCATGAACTGGAAGAGCTCAGTCCAGCACAGACCCTCAGCTGAATTTTTAAGGTGGATGAATATGTATCAATTCCCAATTCACACGGCTCTGCTCATTCACATGATGATAAAACACTACCAGTATCATTTTAGCATTAGTGCTGTGCTTTTATCAGTTTCTGAGTATAAGTGGAAGCAGACAATTCCTAACTTGCCTGATCAAACAATGAATTTACGTTGCATTCATTTTGTCTACAACCAACTTGGGAGCCCAGAATTCCTCACCAGAGACCCTCATCCTGTGGCTGAGGCACTCACACGTGAGTCAGCCTCTGCAAACTGCCCCTGCAGCAAGGCTGCCCCATCTGACCCAGGGCTGACTGCTGCATATTCAATACGTTTAAAACACCTTTAAGACTAAAACAAAGGAAACGAGTTTGCCAAAGAAGCCATGTACTGCTTTTAATAAAACATAAAAAACCTAAATAATATACTAGGATTTTATATGTCAGGAAAGATTGAAATTCAAAAGTAGGGCAGCTCCTATCCTCTCTTGCTTAATAAGATTCCATTTTTCAGGAAGAAATGTTAATGTAAACAAGTAGACAGGGATGATACAGACATTACTCCAATCCTGATTATTGGATTCAAATTTGGTTTGAGTGTCCATTCAAGATAAAGGTTATTTTGCATCAAAAGTTTGCTAATAAAGCTGATATTTTTGTTATGGATTAAAGTCATCATCATCTTGCCATTTGTTTTTCAGATTTTCAAGCCATTTAGTTAAAGTAAAAAGAGAGGAAAAATGTGTGTTTAAACGTGCAATAAATGTCTATTTTCAACAACTAGTGATGAAGAAGCATATGGCAGAATTTTAAAAAGCATTATTCTATGATAAAAGCTGAAGCTTGGGTTTATGCAGCCTCTGGATGTTATGAAGGTGGAAAGATCTGGATTCCCCAAATTGCAATTCTTCCTGAAAGCCTTGCAAATACCTGGTAAGGTTTGCAAACAAGCAAACCTTGATTAGAGCGTAACTCAGAATTGTCTCGAAGTTAGATTAATAAGCATTGTTAGACAAGCTCCACGAGAAAGTTTGCTTCAAATACCTTTTCGCCGCCTGCCAGAGCAACCTCCTTCACCACGATGTCCACATCCAGGTGCTCGAGGAGCAGCCTGCGCGCCCCGGCCGAGGGCAGGAAGCAGAGGGGGCACTGGCAGCTGTCCCGCAGCCACACGCAGGGGTAGCTGCTCTCGCTGCCGTCCTCCCACTGCACGCAGACCAGGCGGCCCCCGCCCGCAGCCCGCACCCTCCGCACGGCCGCGCTCATGCCCGGCGCTCCCGGCTCCGCTGCCCGGCTCCGCTGCCCGGCTCCGCTGCCCGGCTCCGCTGCCCGGCTCCGCTGCCCGGCTCCGCTGCCCGGCTCCGCTGCCCCGCCGCCCTCCGCAGCGAAAACGTCACAGGGAGACGTCAGGGGGAACTCCTGAAAGCGTTTGCCGTTTGTTCTTTATATTTTTCAAGCCGTTTGCTTAAGGAATAAGGAGAGGAAAAAGTTTAAGCGCAATTAAATGTGCAAGAATTTACTGTTTTCAACAGCTAGAAGAAGCGTATGGCAGAGCTTTAAAAAGAATTATATTATATATTGGGTTCTATAGCAAAAACTGTTGTGGTGCACCAGTTTTAGTTGTTCTCTTGCACTGGGTGATTGGGAATCTGCACAGAATAATTTTATATTGCACTGTATAGCTTATGTTATATCACATGGTTTGTTATCCCTTTCCCCCATCTCATGGTCTTTCCCTTACCTGTCCCGGTACCCCCCGGTGGTCTCTCCCCTGGGTTACCCCTCCCCTCGCCACTCCTCACTGATATCCATTGTCTGTGGACCTCTCTCTCTATCCCCATCCCGGGGGGTATAAAAGCTCCCTGCTGCCAGGGAACGCCCTCTTTTCTCCCATGGTTTGTCCACCTAATGTGTGTCTTGGAATAAAGGAGAACGTTTCCCACGTGGAGGAGAGCGCTTCCCAATCTTTTACCTTGGTCTATGAATTATCATGTGGGCAAGGCTCCATAGCTAGCCGGAGTGGACCCCAACAGCCCAGGGAACACGATTCTTCAGGGAACTCCATCACGGGCTCCTAAAACACCACCAAGAGCAGCTAATTACTGAAGAAGTACAGCAATGTTGTACTTACAACAGTGTTACAATGATTCTCCCTTCCCTTCCAACTACCTAGACTTTAGGAATAGTCATTATACATCGCTTACAGAGGGTATACTCAGACACATCTATTCAAAAATCCCTTCAATGTGATCCATCATCCTGGCTGTCTTTCGTTGCTACACGCTCTGACCAGAGATGGTGCAACAGCCCTGAACTCTCCTCTCCCCGTACTTGGGGTAAGGGTGTGTGCAAACTGCAGATGAGTCTGGGGGCCACAGCCTCCCCCACCCCGAACACAGCCAGAGCACATTCTCAGGACTGGGTCTGGCTTTCTTGTGGATGCCTTCTTCCCAGGCCTTGTTTACTTCTCCCTGGCCCTGAGGTAACTGGACAATACTGTCACTGTTATCTTATCTCATGCTCCCTTAGGCAGCTTAACTCCCCAGTCCAAAGTTCCAATCAGGAGGCATATTCAGGAAGGGGTGGGTTTTGGTGGTCACAGTTTCATTATGCAGTTTTGCCATAAAGTGCAAGAAGTCCTTCATAATTATGTTTGAGCACTTAGGCATAACATTTCAGTCTCTCAGAGAAAGACACATGAAAAACAATTCCACAAACAAAAAGCCAGAGCTACCACTAACCATGTTCAAAACCTAAAGCATGAAAGTACATACACCATAACCCCTGCTGTGGATACTATGGAATGGAAAATGCAGAATCCACCTCCCTGCAAGGAAAAGCTTTGTAAACGTGACTTCAGCAACAGCAACCGAGTTCTGTGAGAGCTCCTCTCTCCTTTAACAGCCAGACCACTTTCTATAGATACACTCTTTTATTTAAAGCCAGCTACATACTGTACCGCAGAACGATGGTCTATCCAGATCCTAGAATTAGGAAAGCTCTGGTCCAACGTTTTTTCTTATTCAGAAAAATTCAGGGGATGCTCCCTGAATCAATAAGTCATTACATACGTATTTTAATGGCTTTATCAACATCAAATAGTGCATATTTAAGAATCTTCTCTTTTTGTTCTTAAGCTCAGAGGGCAACATATTGATGCTGCCAGGACAGAAGTCTCACCAGCTGTCTTCGTGCACAAAAAAATGACCTGGGCTTCAGTATTTTGACTCACAAAGGCCTACTGGAGTTATCAGATGGTTTTTCAATATTTTTCCTTTGCTGCAGTGTAGAACTAGGCTACACAGGACCCTTGGGTCTCCATTTGTTTTATTTCATTTGATTGAGTACAGCAAAGCAGAATACTGTGGCTTTTTTCTTTCTTGTGTTTATGGATAGCAGTCCCATTGGAACCCAGTAATTGCTAATCCTCACCTGCAATGCAGTACAGCTAGTTTTGTGCATACAGATTTAAACGCCTTTTATCCAAAATTGTGTTTATATCTAGATTGAATAGATTGTCTTTTCTACAAATATACATATGTATGTATATATATATATATGTGTGTATTTCTACCATACCGTAATTTCTTTTGAACTGTAAAAATATTTATATTGCAAGACTGGCTGCAGTGTCCTTCTGAGATTTTTTGGATGAAGTTTTATTATGTATGGCTGAAAAGTTGTGTTATGCTTTAGGGTTAAAAAATAAAAAATTCAACATGCCATAAACTTTTGCTACCTCATTTCTGGACAGTTCTCTGTTCAAGTTTAGCAGTTTACCTGATGGTAATGAGTCACATTGCTTGACCCCTGGACAATGCTGAACTGTCCAGCACAAGGCATGGTACTCACATCCACACAAATTGAGGCACCTGAGCAACAGAAATGTTCGGATCAAATTATTCCACTTAACTTTCAATATGTAAGGAATTGTAGAACAAAGCACTCTTCCCAGAACCAACCATCCAGTTCCTTTGGGGACAGGGATGCTTGTCTCTGTGTACTAAATCTAGTAGGCACTCCTGTAGCTATCTGCTCAAGAAAAGACCATGAGAACTAGAACTTACTTTAGATGTTTAAGGCCATCAGGAAGCTCCTCCAGCTTATTAAATAGGGAAAGCAGGAAAAATCCAAAGGTCTGGATATACATATTAAACCCCTCAGTATTTAATTTCAAAGTTTCTCCATAATGTATTGCATACTCTCATTACATTCCTCTATCCAGTAGTCCACACACTGCTTTTGTACACCAATTTCTCATCTTATCTAAGTGGATTGCCAAATAATTTCAGTATTATTTGCATGCTTAGTGTTTAACCTAAGCAAAGGCTCTTCTTTAGCAAGGTGGTTATAACTACCTAGATTTTGTATACAGATATTTTATCAATATTTTTCTTCAAAAAGTCAAAACATGGGACTGGAAGATATATCAAACCTTTACTTTCTGAATGTCTCAAAGGGAAGATTCATCACTAAGTCTGAAGCCCTATGTGAAGCTTGCCAGATTTAAAGGGCTTCCAGACATCTCCTATTTTATCACTCAATTAAGAAATCTAAACTTGCTTCTAAGAGACTCTAAATACACTAGTGGTAATAGAAAATCACACTTTTTTATGGCAGGACACTGAAGTGTGTTCATTGTCTTGCTATTACAAATATCACTTAACTGGTATTTGTTCATCTGGTCATAGGTAACTTGGTCACGCAAAATGCATGTGGAGGAGGGGTTGCACATGGGCTACTTGCAGAAGGCTACTAAGATAAGATTGGAGAAAGCAAGTCTAGGTTTTCTTCCTTACACACAGTACCAGACCAGAAGCTTCTCCTTTCAGGAGGATTTTTTCTGGTATGTATGAGTGGAATGGTAAGAATATTCTGGGTTAAGTTCTGCACAGAGGCCACCCAGCATGTCTTCACTGGTCTATTTCTAGAAAACATTTCACAACAACTCAATTTGTCACTACTTGTACTACAGTGCTCAAGTTTCCTAGGTAGGACCTGTGTGCCAGGTAATGGTCAGGCACATAGTCATCTCTTTCTCAGCTTCACCATGCAAGACACAACATTTAGTCTCTCTGAGTGCCTCTGGCCTAATGGAAGTGAGGACACAAAAGAATTAGGTATAGAAGCCCTAACGCCATCAGTAGTGCAGCAGTGGAAAATAGGAAATCTGATGTTTGGTTCTGGGAGTGGCACCTATTGTCTATACATAAACAATGCCTATAAATTGCTTCTTAAAAGAGAGTTTGGTTCCTGTTTCCAAGCAATATTAATTTCTCCCATTAGGGTACTTTGGCAAAATGCACAATAAAGAGTTAGGGCCAAGAGAATATTTTCCATCCAGGGACTGCAGCGTGATCTGCAATACAGCCCTTTGATTTCAGAAAGCAGAAGATTATGGTTCAAGCTATGCCCCATGTGCACAACCTCATCCTGTGAGTTTATATAAAAAGCTAAACAGATTATTAGAAGTGGCAAATTATACTATTTAAGTGTCAAACAGCACATCCTTTGAGCTCCAACACACACGAATGGTGGCTCTAGAGAACTGCACAGCCAGATTATCTGATTGCCAGCCAAGGAGGAACATGTATTATTACAGGACAGAAGTGTTGCACTTACATCAGTGATGGGTTTGAAGTCCAACAGTCAGGAACCACCCCGACAGAAAGTGCAGTAGAAGAGTGACACAAAGAGGAAAATTCTTCTTGGTAGGATTGGCTTACTTCATGGTTACCAAATTGGAGACTGCTACAAAACACTTTTATGGTAGTCATTGTAATCATTGTAGTGTGTGAACCTGCCTGTATTATGATTCAATGTTATAACTATTGTAACACTTCGTGCTGGAAAATAAAGCATTGAAACTTGCCTAAAAGAGACAGTCTCAAGAAAAGGAGGGACTGGACAGCTTGACAGACAATAGATATTTTCAGTTCCCCTTGAAGTTGCTAAATAGAGCTTAAAGACTAACTAACAGAATAGATACAAGAAAGTAAAAGTAGACGCAAAGGGTGCTAAACATAGCTGCAACCAGTAGATAAGCAGATAATGAGGAACACGGTGGCTTTTGTGGCAAAGCCATGTAACAGGAAGCAACAGTGTATGCCCTGAGAGAAGTTCAAGGTGAGGTCATCTGCAACACTGGGGACATTCAGTGAGTATGACCACCAGAGACCCTTAGACAACCCTGCAGGACCACAAAAGGACTCCCAGTAAGAGGCAGATGCATGCAAATTAGCTGCAGGAAAAGTGGTGTTTGTGTGTTAGCTAAGAAGTATATTGTAATTAAGACGTACGATCATGGTGGAATAAATAACTTGTAAAGTTTCATGACACACCTGATTAGAGAGATACTTTC